GTTAAACAATTTAAATCGTCAATCAAACAAATTATTATTATTATAACTTAATTATTATAAAATTAATAACTTTATTATATATAATAATTTACAATTAAATAAACTATAAAGTTATTTTATATTATCAATGTATAATCTATTCTCTTAAATTACAAATATATTGTCATCGTTGTGATATTTTTTATTAATATTAACAAATTTAAAAATCACAACCTCATTTTTAATTGGTTGATGATGTAAAATCTTTTATATTAATAGCATGTATTCATTAAATTCTAAATTTAAAATGAAAAATGGTGTAAAGAAATTAAAATGAAAAAATAGAACATGCTTATATGATACCTATATATATTTTAATTTTAAATTATAAATAATCATTAAAGATATGAAATTTATTTTAAAGAAATTGATATTTCTCGATCTATTTTTTTATACATGCAAATTTGAGGATGATATGTTTAATGGACAAGATTATATGTCAATCTTGTCGCACTATGATGGTGTTTTTTTTTTTTTTTTCGTTCCTGGAGTATTCACTGCCGACAGTAATGACTATGATGGTGTTTATTCGTTTTGTTTAGGTAATCTTTATTACTTATACTTGAATTAATAATCCAAATTAATAATAATCCAAATTGAAAGTACACTTATTTAGAAAACACAAATCGAATTAATAATTCCTTAAAAGACATACTTAAATTTATTTATTTTTTTGTTGATTGCATTGACAAAGTAAAACACATGCATGGAAAGGAGTTTGTAGTTTAACACCCCTATGATGAATGAACGATTGAAGAAGGCTTTTCGACTTTTTTTGTGATTGTTGAAATACGCATTTTGTATAGGGGAATGCAAAGTTGGGTTTTGCTCTTGGGCAGCAAAGCATGACCTATGGCTTTGTTTTGTAACTATCCTCATCAAAGCAGAAGTCACTATAATTCTATTTGCTCACGTTCGACTTCAATGACTCAAATGAAATACTATTAATTACAATACTTCACTTTCAATTGACAATTCCATAATCTCAAAGTCATAAAAGCTTCACCATTTGGCTGCACGGAACACACATTTTCTCCAACATTCCCTTCTTCCTTTTGGTCGGTCTATGGCTCTTGCACTGGTTGATGAACAACAAAGAGTGACAAGATAGAGAAGATGTTGACACTTGCCTCTCAATCCCACTCAATCCCACTCACTCTTT